TGGAGCAGAGTCAGAGTTTAGGGGATTGGTGATGAAGGAGCCACTGGAATAATATAAAATGAGTGTGTGGTACACCAATGGAAACCTCAGCCAATTTTCAATTTTTGCAATATAAGTGACTTTTATATGGAACACGTTTGAGGATAAAAGCTTCTATTTTTTTTTTTTTTTTTTCAGATTCAAATCTGATCTAGACAAATTCTCAGTTTAATTGAAAGGACTTGGGTAGGAACTAAGGCTTGAACCCTGGATCTGAAGGTTCTGTTCCCAGAGCTGTCATGCTTGCCTTCCCGAGCAGAAGTTAATTAACCACATTTGGCTTCTTCATCTTCCTTGTCTGTGAAATATTTTCCTTCTTCAAAAATATTAGGCCAGTTCATTAATTCATTCAAGATGTTTTTGAAGATCAGTAGGTCTTCAGAACAGACTGTCAGACACAGGAACAGAGGGCACTCTTCTGAAGGCGGTGGGGAATGAAGACATGAAACCATTAACACTGATTACCTTCGGGGGGTATAATTAGTTTTCGGTAGGAAGGGAGGTGAGCGAGATTTTGAGCTGAGTCAAGTGACTTTCCTTAATATTTTTCAAGTTTTTGTGCTGTCGATCACAAAGTGTCTTATAATTCAAAGTTAAGAAAAGATAAAAATTATACTTTAAAAGGGAGAAAATAAAGTTAAGGCATTAAAGAGGAATAAGAAGGGCCTGGTTGGTGTGGCTCCCTGATTGCATGTCGGCCCAGGCTCCAAAAGGTTGCTGGTTCGATTCCAGTTCAGGGCACATGCCCAGGTTGTGGGCCCAATCCCCAGTAAGGGGCATGCAGGAGGTAGCCAATCGATGTTCTCTCTCATTGCTGTTTCTATCTCTCTCTCTCTCAATTCCTCTCTCTCTCAAATCGATAAAGAAAAAAATTTTAAAAAGAAAATGTTAAAAAAAGGCATCAAATAGGAACACTAAAATTAGCATGGTGGTTATGATTTCTATATGAATTGATTAAAATTTCAAATCTTCTTATATTTTAGAGGTTTATTTGATAAAAAAGACATAATACAACTTATATGTGCTTCTCTTTGCACAGATAACTCTGAGTGCTCAAGCATTTGTAAATGGGTAATGATAACACTTCCTGAAATGAGAGTGAGACTTAAATATAATGCAGATGTGGTATGAAGAATTGTAAAGACCAAAGGAAAGATCATCAACATTTCTATATCATGGACTGAAGGGAAATAAATAAACTTTATTATTATTTTTTTAATATGACTTTTATTGAATTTTTAGAGAGAGAGAGAGAGAGAGAGACAGAAATATTCATGTGAGAGAGAAATATCTATTGGCTGCCTCCCGCACGCCCCCCAATGGGGATTGAGCCCGCAACCAAGGCATGTGCCCTGATTGGGAGTTGAACCAGGACCTCTCAGTCCATGGGATGATGCTCAATCCACTGAGCCACACCAGACGGGCAATACACTTTATTATTATTTAAAGAGAAGAAAAATGGTGAAATAAAGAAAATGTTGGTATAGTCAAAGAAAGGAAATAGGAGTACAGACAGACTTAAAGGTAAGAATAGAATTTTAAAATACTGAAGAGTAGCAACTGGTTAGCATTTATTGAACACCTTTGCACCAGAAACAAATCTCATTTAATCTTTCTGTTCCCCCAAGTATTTGTTTTGTCATGCTCAGTCAAAAGATCAAAAATCTGAAGTTCCAAAGTGTTATGTGGGGTGGCTGGGATCACACAGGTTTTGCAGGCCCAGGGCCCACTGCCTTTAGCAGCATACCATGCTGAGAAATTTATGGAAGCTGATGAACGCCTGGACAGTCTTCAGAGGGGCAGAGCAGAAATAACAGAGGAACAGAGTGTGTGCGTTTTGCAATGTTGCTAGCCAGTGATAAACCTTTTCTTTACTTGGTGAAAGACAAAATTTAAAAGTTACCCACAGTGGTTACCTAGGTGGCTGAGGTTCTATGGGTGACTCATATATAAAGAATAAAGTACATTTTCATTTCTAGTTTATTCCCAGTGTTACAAAATGGTAGAATGTTTTCAAAGTAAAGGTTTTTTTTTTCTAAGTATAAATCAAAACCTACATATAGGGATAATATGTGAATAAACATAAAATGTTATAGTAATTCAAATATTTTCCCACTACTGAGAGATAACCACTGTTAATATTTTATTGTCATACCTTATAGTTTCAAAATGCAAGTATGCTCCAATGGGAATCAAGTGGAATTGTATATAATTTTTATGTAAATGCATGTCCTTAAATAAGCCATTTTAGTTGGTTATATGATACTCCATAGAGTTTGAATTAATATTTTCTTATTTTTGGGTCATTTAAGGAGTCTCTTTCCTATTTTTGCTACTCTAAATAATATGATAAGAATCCTCTACATAAATCTTGGGATACTAGTATTGATGACTTCTTTAAAACAGATTAGAAATTAATATCAAATACTGTCTTTGCCTAGTTTCAAAAGGAACATAAGTTATTGTAAAAAACCCAGAAAATGCAAATATACATTTAACATTAGACAAAGTGTATAGAAAATAAAAATTACCTATGCTTTTCAGAGGTAACTCCTAATAACATTTTGATATATACTTGCAATTTTTATCTGTGTAGCTATAATTGCTCTTTAGTTTGATTCTTGATACTGTCTTTGTCACATATAATTTTAAAATCAGGTTTATGTTTGCTCAGAAGCATTATATCTTTGTCTAAATTCTGAATTAATTTACACAACAGGAAATCATCTTTAATTTAAAAGTAAAATAAGGTATTTTTAATAATTTCCTTCTTGGTTGATTATCTACTCAGGATATCTTCTTTTACTTTAGCAGTTTTGAACATTCAATTTTTTCCCCAGAGAGCATTTTTTTTTCTTGCGAGTTTGAAAATGTATTAGCATAGCAATTACATTGTAATATATTCTAGTATTTTAATGCGTTTACATGGATACATGTACCTGATAAGTTGATTGGTGGCTAATCAAGTACCCACATGGATGGCTCCCCGTCACCCGCAGTGGGGGAAGACGATGTCCACATTCCTTCCACGCCACTCCAGATCTCCACAGTGAGGCACTATCTACTTCTCTGTCCTCCTTTTCTTCAATCTTCCGTAAATGTGTGCTTCATATACTCTACTTACAATCACCTCAGGATAAACAGCCTGCACTTCTGTGCCTGTGCACATCTGTAGACTGAATTTCTTCAAATGACAATCCACTGTCTGCTCGTTCCTGGCTCATCAGAGCACGTGTACTCTCTTCTTCCCTTTGAGTCTCTGATCCACTACACAACCCCTCTCCCCATTTCAGATGCGGCTGACGGCTTCTTTCTCATCTCACTCAGGGCCTTTTGTGCTTCAACCACAATGCAGCCTCCATTGTGCCTGGAGTCCTGTTTCCCCACTACTCAGTTAGATAATGGATAACAGCACTATGTCCAGTCATGTTTATATCAAATAACTTACTGAGGATAAGAAATGGATTCAATTTAAGATCAGGCTGGCTGAATGCTAGTGTTACCTACAAATAAACACACCAACTACTTAGCCTCCTTTTCCTTGGATAATGGCTAACCACAATAACCCCTGTCAACTAAACTCTCATGATATACTGATTTTGTTAGAAATGTGATCTTTCACTATCTACCATAAGAGTATTACGATAAGTATAAAAATCAGCAACGTCTATGCAATGAATGGTCTTCCTTCAATGTGGAGACTCGGAATACGCACAACCCGCGCTACCACATACGACTTCGAGTCCTAGTATCGCATTTTCTTTTTCAGTGTTTATCATTCACTTCAATATAGGAACCAAGGGCATACATTACACTATGATATGGCTGGTTTGAAGATACTGTAAACAGTATTCTCCTACAAGTTAAAATGAACCTGAAGAAAGCAGACTACAGTGGAAGATAGTAACTATCAACCATGCATTTTAAAATTTAATCATTAATTATAGTGACTATTCACTTTTCTCTTAAGGCCTTCTCTGATTATTTTAAAGCTAAATAGCAAATGGTCCTAAACCTTTTAAGTGTGTAACATCTGTGTCAATCTACATTTGGAACTAAATGTTTATTACTTGTACATGATATCAACATCATTATTTGAGCATTGCCAATTTATCTACACACATTATCTCATGATGTCAATATAATAGCCGTAACATTTACTTATGTATGATTTGGGGCAAGTTATTTAAGCTTTCCAAATCTCAGTTTCCTTCATTTACATAATGGAGAGAATAGTAGCCTTGGTGCAGTTGAAAGAATTTTAAAAAGTTTATATTAAATCAACTACAGAAAGCTGACCAACATGGTCACGTAGTTAGAACCAAAGAAGATAACGAAAGTTTAGCAATGCCACAGCACACTGGACTACGAGAGAAAGACAGGGCATGACTAGGCAAAGATAGTTATCTTCCTGATAGAAAAGAGTAGACATGTAAATAGAAGTGTTGACGAGAGAGAGAGAGAAAGGGAAGGAAAAGCAAGAAAAATGTTTAGTTCCAGAGAAAGAAAAATGAAATACCTGTCTGACTGTATTCTATTTCACAAGAGGCCCTGGAGATAATACGCCTTCATTTTCAAACACATTTTCGTTTATCTTTCCAACAAATCCTCCTGTGAGTTGGACTCTGCAGGAACGGTTTTCTAATACAAACACTCCCTTACTTGAATGAAAGGAACACAGCACCTTTCTAGCACACACTAGATACTTATGAATACAGTTATCACCAATCAAACTATAAACTCAAAGGGAAAGAAATATTGACAATACAAGTCTCACTTATTTTTAATTTAAAGGAATTCATCATCTCAACCACATGGACAAAATGTTTTCTGCAAAAATGAATTGTCTTTGCCAGAGATGTGGCTTAGTCTTACTTTGGCTTCCTTGTAAATGCAATCTAAGTGTAAAGGAAACATAGAGCTCTCTCCTTTCGTACTTATTGAAAACTGTAAACACTTACCACATTCAGGGCCATGATGATTACAAAATTGATACAGACAGCAGCACCAGATGTTGCAAACTGCCAGTGTTGCTTGACGAAATGCCACTTGAATGATGCAAACTGTTCCATGACAACCAGGCGATACACCACAACTGCAAACACTGCAGTGATCACCAAAGAAATCTACAACATGGGAGACCAGAGGAGACGACTATATTCTGCATCACTAACAAAACAACAGCAAAACCACAGATCCAATACACTGCCCCCAAGACCTAAAGAAATCTGTCTAAGAAAGTATACATAAATTTACTTTTTTCCTTTAAGGATCTAAGTTACATTAGCATCAAAATAAATAGTATAAGATTTAAGTTGGTGTAGTGTGATAGTTATCACATTAAAATTTTTGTTCAAATTTCCACTTTTAAATGGAATACGTGGTTTTAAAACAAGAAAACTAATTAATCAGAGCAAGTCATATAATTTCCATTTTACGTTAGATGATCTTTGTTTTCCCCACATTGTGTTTTACTTAAGGATACACACAAACTCCCTTTGTAATTACTCCATGACCTGCTGTGATTTTTACTTTGTTTAATAGCATGTATTGCTGAAGTATTGAGCAGGATGTGGTTTCTTACATCATCAGGGTCACAAAATGAGTTGGTGTCCCAAAACCTCCTTCTAACCCTGCAATCCCACAACATTCTGACATTAATGGTTATACTTTACCATGAAGAAGATTCCTGAGATAGAAACAAGAAGACGACTGACTTTGTCTGAAGAAGGCTGATGTGGCTCAGGTTTCCCACTGATGGGATTCACTCTCTCCATCTTGTAATACTTTGCTTCAAACTGGGGACGGAGTGTTTCCTATGAGAGAAACTTAAAGTTACCTAAATATCAAAATTTAAAAAAAAAATTTATTTAATTTATCTATGAGTTGATACAAAATTCCCGCATTTTGGCCTACTTTTATATCAAGTCTTGGCAAAAAAGCAACTTTAAAAATATAAGATGCAAATTACTTTCCAAATGAACCCTAAACTATATTTTAATTAAGCCAGTTTTCCACTAATGTAGTTTAAGGAAAGAGCATAGAAATGCTTTGAAAAAATTACATTACCTCATTAAACTTTTTTATCCTCACTAAATAAGAAATCGTGTTAGTTAAAAAAAGAAAATCAAGGGAAAATCTAAGAGTGTTTGGCTGCTTCCAAGTTAGATGTTGAGAGTAGTAGACAATTTTCTGGAATGCTTCTCATCCCGGCTTCCTTATCTTCTGTTCCCTAACATCTTACCTCCTCTTCTTCCCATTCAATAAGGTCCCAAGTATAGGTCAGTGTACTTCTTCTTCTTTTCCAAAATTCCAGGAAGACTGTGGCTATAAACAATAATATTGTCATTATAATTATTTACCCAAACACACTGCGTTTTCTCATTGTTGCTTTTCTTCTTTGAACTGATGTGTTTTTACCATATGATTGAATTACTGAAATTAATTAAATTCATACAATTAAAATTTTGTTTTCTCTCACCCTGTTCTCCTTGTCTCTGGATACTGCATTCCTAGAGGGGAAGTAACTCTTTTCACTGGATTAAATAAGTAGAGACTTTTGTTAGCATGACCCATCCAAGGGATGCTACGAGAGAATGTCAATATTAGTGAGCAAAATATTTATTGTTTCTTTTGACTTGTACATGTTTATTCAACATTATCTAAAAGACTTAAATGAAGCCTTCTCCAGGAATGACAATAAAGGCCGTATGCTGCTTCTTCAGGATTCAGAGAGGGATAAGGTTGGAGAGAGAAAGAGCAAGGTTAACATGCCTCAGGCAACTTCTGCTCAACAAGCAGGGTGCTATGCATTAATCTGAACTTGCAATTTGGCCAAAGGTATAATGGCTAACATTTATACTGACAGCAGGTACACCTTCAGTGTTGCCCATGACATTAGTATGCTCTGGAGACAGAGATAATTTCTTGACTTCTTCCAGAAAAGAGATAAAAAAAAACAGTTATTATGTTTTAGAATTCTTAAAGATTATCCAATGTACTACAAATTTATCAAACATAAAAACCCCTGGACATTCACAGTAGCAGCAATCACTTGGCTGACACTGCTGCTAAATTAGCAGCATTAAAACAATCACGGTCCCTAAAGAAGATATCTGTGCCACCAGATGAAACAATTGGGGATATAAAAGATAACATTACAAAAACACAGCATTTGGCTATTCAACAAAATAGAAATAAATGGTTAGAAAAAGGCTGTACATTTGGCCCTGTAAGAAACTTATAGGTAGGTCCAAATGAAAAATCATTCCTTCCTGATAGCATAAAATATGTAATATGCACATGACTTAACTCATTGGGACACTGACAAAATAATACTGGATGCCATGGCCAAGATAGCTTTCCAGACACACACACACACACAAATCTGGCTATAGTATAACGCAGGAAAGCCCATTTGTACCTGTATGGGGCATTTCCCCTTGCACTTAGGCCCCTTTGAGGACTGGCAAATCAACTTTATTCAGTTGCTTCCTTCTCGTGGATGCAAGTATGTGTTGGTAATGACTTGCATGTTTTCTCCTTGGGGGGGAGAATTCCCACGCTACAGAGCCATAGTCTCCGCACTAAGTAAAGTAACTCCTAGAACAGCTTTCCAACTTGGGGAATCCCTTCAGAGCTTTGTAGTGACTGGGGAACTGATACCACAGGACACGTTATACAATCTGTTGGTAGGATGGGGCCGCTTTTGCAACAATTCCATTGTGGATATCATCCCCAGTCCTCTAGTCTCATAGAACAGACTAACAGGGTATTCGAAACTCAATTGGCAAAACTGGTGGAGTCTTTTAATCTACTTTGGCCTAAAGCTCTTCCCTTGCTATTACTCAACCTAAGATCTACTCCTTGCAGCGTAGACTATCTCCTTGTGAAAGTATTGCCAGCAGACTAACGAGATTAGATCAAGAAGTGTGTGAACCTCCACTGCTGACAGGAGACCTCCTGGTTTACTCTAAGGAACATACAGGGGCACTTAAGACTAAATCAGAGCTCCTAGAGCAACCTTTCCATTACACACTTCTGGGAGATGGAGATCTACATCATGATTGCCAACCTGAAAATTACGTCTATTGGAAATGCCATCTCCATAAAGATGCCCTTCAGCCCCAATGAAAAGAGCCATATTAAGAATTAATAACTAACCCTTGTGCCACTAAACTTAAGGGTACTGACTCATAGATTCATTTAAAAAGGACCCCCACACCTGGGTGGTCATCTCAGCCTATCGGAGATCTTACACTGAAAATCTCTAAACAACCCAAGACCACCACTAGAATTCTCATTCCGGATCAAAGCAGATGGCACTTGATATAGACGGTTCTCCCCAGACCCCAGACCAGGCCAGTCATACATGATTCCATTCAGCAACTCTTACTCTTGGTCTTTCTTTTGATCAGTTTTGTTTCATTACTAATTATATTATTATCATAACCCAATTTTTGCTTGAACAAAACTCCTGAGAAGACATTCTTCCTTTTTATAGTTCTTCAATCTAATTTCAAGATAAACATATTCAGATTCATATATCTGCTTACTGCAATGGCTATCTTATTTGCCCTTCAACACCCTTTTGGTCCCATTAGCCAACAATTATCCAACAGTGTCAATTTAACTCACTGTTGGATATCCATCAGAGCTAACCATACTCAGAATAAACCAGATTAACTGATTAGCCCTTATGCCTTGAAAGCTTACAAAATCTAACTGGAAATAACACGAATTTAAAGTCCTTTTTTATTCTCATTGGTAGGTAAATATGTGTGGTCTACTATAAATACACTGAAAAAAGATGGAGCCTATTCTAAACTAGAAAGTTCTTGGTCCATCTAAATATACTCAACTTCCTTTAACACATAATGAAATAAAACACTAAGCTGCCCTTAGTCATCAGCAAGATTTGTCTCACTGGCTCACACTTTGCTGCCTGGATTAAAGAGTAGATTCTAAAAAATAAGTTATAGATTCTAAATGTGAGATGGAGGGCTAAAAGTTTTATGGCTTCAATTCAGTTATTTTATTCTCCCAAAAGAGTATTATGAATTTAACCCCATTCTTGTTAGAAGAGAATGAGAAAAGGCGTTGACCTGGTAACGAGTTGAGGACTGACTAATGGGTTTGGACATTTCAAGAAGAAATGGGAATCTGTCAAGGACTCCATAAGTCAGTGACACTTTAAAAAGAAGCATCTACAAACTGTGAAAGTGGCAAGCAAACATAGTCATTGTATTATAATTGGTGGTAACAAGTTTTGTATGCATAGCTAACTCTGGGATCCTGGCTGGACAAGGTAGTCTCTGAAGCAAAGCAGATTGAAAGAATACAGGAGCATTAATGACAGAGACCCAGATAGGCTTTAGCAGGGCTGAGAATGTGGGGATGGCAGAAGAGATGGAAAGGTGAAGCATTCCATCTAAGATTTGGTTTCACATCTTAGATCTTTAAAAATATCCTAGTGTTAATGCTATACCTCAGAGCAATTAAATCAAAATCTCAGAACAAAACCCAATATCAGTATATTTTTAAAGACTCCCAAAGACTTCCCATGTGCTGTCAATGTTGATCACCACCTCCTAGAGGAAAACCAATTTTGCTTGTGAAAGAGGTGGAATTGAGATCAGGCATGGTCACTGAGGCAGTAGAACATTAACACTAGAATTTCTTAAAGTCATGTTGTCAGAAATAATGGCTGTTGTTTTGTTTTGAATTCCAACTATTTATAAAACATTGTTAACAATCATTTTAGATACATTACTTCTAATCTCCATCAGAGTCATTTTCAACAGTTAACAAAAATATAAATGGCGCCCTGACCGGTTTTGCTCAGTGGTTAGAGCGATGGCCTGTGGTCCAGAGAGACTCGGGTTCGGTTCCCGCTAAGGGCATGTACCTTGGTTGCAATTTGTCCCCGGCCCTGGTTGGGTGCGGGAGGCAGTCACTTGATGTGTCCCTTTCACGTCAGTGTTTCTCTCTCTCTCTCTCTTCCTCTCTCTCCCTCCCACTCTGAACAAAAAATGGAAAAATGTCCTTGGGTGAGGATAAAAAAACAAGAAAAAATATAAATGGCAACAACATGTACCAAGTTTATACAAAATGTGCAATAAAATGGACATTATTCTTAATTTTTACGATTAAAAATTAGGGATTGTGAGAGGTTGAGGGACATGCTAAAGTCACGGAGCTGATTGGAACATAAATAATTTAAACTAAAAAATGCATACTCTTTCTACCATACCATAGTGCCTCCCTGGATGTCACTGGATAGGGTTGAGATTGGAGATGCTAACAGGTGGGAATGGGAATTTGAGAGCAAGCTGTGAAAGTATTCAAGAAAGAAGTACCCTGGAGATAAGTAGATATGAAATGTAGAGAGAGCAGTAGAAATTAAAGAGCATGGGATCCAAAGGAGGAATATATGATACGGCAGGGCCAAGGACACTGGTTCAGAATGAACATGGTGACAGAGACTGTGGGACGGTGAAGAAGAAAGGAAGCATATTAAAATTACTTAATATTAAAATAAAAATGCTTTAAAAATAAAGTGTATAAAGTGAAAGCCATTTCACTTACAAAGAATGAAGTTTCAATACAGATATAGATGTGGATAAGTAATAGAAATGCATACATAATATGCAGACATAGATGTTATATATGTGTTTGTGTATGTATATGTATATGTGTGTGTGTATATATATACATATATATATAAATAAAATGTAGCTAGATTAAATATAGTGATAGATACATAATGCCCAAAAGAATATATACCAAAGTGTTAATACTAATTTTCTGTGGGAAGTGGATTATGGAAAACTTTGTACAAAGAATACATCGTCTGTGAATTACCCACTGCCTATGTTCTTCTTACCATTCTATGTGAAACCTTATCAATTCTTCCTTTGGTCCCATGAAACTGGGATGAGGGTGGAGTTGGAAGATAAGAGGCCTTTAATGGAGAAGGGAATTTTGTTATCAGGGGAAAGCCAGATTACACATGAGTCATGGAGGTAGGAGTATTATGGAAAAGCTGAAGATGATACTGTATTATTCTGTTTCTTAGCAACCATACATTGTATTTATCTTTTTATTCCTGCCTTTCTGACTATAATGACAAACTTTTCCCAATTAAAAAAAAAAATTCAAAGTTGCACATGCTGCATCCAGTCTTTGTACTTCCATTTCCTCATGTCCCTTTCCAGTGGCTTTTCTTTGTGATCTAAAGTCCATGGCACAGAGTAACAGATTCATATGATCATGCATGAAACGGAGGTTAGATTCCATATGTAGTTTGTTCCAAGTTGTTATTTTAA